CAAGATCTTGACATTGTAGGTACCTTAATAAGACAGCTATTGATAAAAAAAAAAAAAAAAAAAAAAAAAAAAAAAAAGATAGAAAGTTATCCATAGGGAGGGTCTGGACTGGATGCAGAGACTACTGTTTTATCTTTGGTCACAGATTAAGATGTCTTTGATGTAATTGTGTATATTTACCTGCTGGCAGACTTCAACTTGCTTCAGTTTATTTAAAGGGGCTGTCCGAGTTATGCATGACATATACCAACACGATAGATAGTCTTTGAACCATTTTAAAAACAACTCAAAAGACAATTTCCAAAATATTGTTTTGTCAAAAAACAAAAACAAAAAAGGAAGTAGATGCCTAGTCCGTAGGGAATTTAGGCCCCTGAAATAAAGAGTAGAAGCCCTTCCATGTTCTCAGCAGCCCTCTGGCTTCATCGAGTGCATTTTACGCAGGGTTTGGAGGTAGATCTCCAAAACACGAGCCAAGTGGAGAGCTTCCTAGGAAAGCAAATCTTTCCCACATCCTTCCCTGCAGTTCCTCTTTAAGAGGCGTCAGCGTGGCTGAAAGAATGGAGTGGCCACATTGTCTGGCCCAGCCATTATGTGCTCAGCATTTCCATAACAAAGGTGCCACTCGACTTCTCCCGATTAATGCAGCTGGAGGGCTCTTGTCGCCTTTAATAAAACATTGTTGAAATCATTTATTTAGAGCCCCTGGTTACTAGGGGGAGAATGACCATCTTTGTGCCAAAATATAGTGTACACAGTCCACTATTTTGTAGTAGATCATTGTGTTATTTACGAAATCGATTAAACGGATGCCTGGGTGGGGGGGGGGGTGGTATTGATGCTCACAGCACATTGCTTATGTCATGGGGATAGTCAAGGGTGAACTTTGTCAACTCTCTTCCAGAAGCAATCTCTCAAACAGAATACAGTGGCATCCAACTTAACGGGCACTCCGTGCGCCCCACTGGAAGTGCAGTTCAGGCTCTGCTCTGTATAACCCCATGCTCTCCCACCATCCCTGGGGCAGATGGGAGAAAGTCAGGTCAACTGACAACATTTCCCGTGTTTCTTGGTGTGAGAGGTCAGAAAACAATGCTGGCATACTTTTCCTCTTTGTGCTCTGGAAAAGATACCTGGACTATATATCCTGGAGCTTTCACAGTGTGTTCTTAGTGATCGCACAGCAGAGTGCAAGCTGTGAAGCTGAGGATTTGCTGCACGTTGCTTCCAGAAGTGCTCATGGCATTGGAGAGTCTCCTGATTTTGGATCCTCTGTAGCATTGCTGGGAGGAGGTAAATGCATGATCTTCCGGCAAAAAAAAAAAAAAAAAAAAAAAAAAATATATATATATATATATATATATATATATATATATATATATGCGCCACAGCCTCACAACTCCATGCTCTGCAGTGTCCCTTGGTTTCTACCACTGCTCATGTTCTCCAGGGTAGAAATCAATGCTCTTTTGTCTTCATGTGGGTTCCAGTAGAGCCCAGCTTCTGGCCCCTTCACTTTGTGGCACTGGGGACCAGGAGCTGCTTCTGTCCTTACATGGGTGACTGTAGGAGCGCTACTCGAGTATAGACCTTGTCCTCTGAGTGGACAAGTTCACGTCCCTAGGGCAATTTCCCCACTTTACACATGGGGCTTTTCACGTGAACATGGCTATATATTGTTAGAAATCAACAGAGACCTTATGCTATGTCCATTGTGGCCATGTACAAAAGCCTTGCTGTGTGCCGGGCTGATCGCTGAAGCTGAACCTCTTCTATTTACTGTATGGTCGCTTCAGCTCAATGAACTGCCCCCCTTGTTCTTGACCATTGTCCCACACTCCCTTAAACGTTTGTCCCTGAAGTGCTTCCAAAGACAAATGAACCGTCACAGAGGATCTCGACCACTAACTGAGGAGATGGAAACAGCCTGGAGATAGATTAGACATGAAATCTAAAACCTGACTCTCATGAGATGGGGTAGGGGAGCTTCCTGGAAATTCTCCAGAAAAGGCAAAAAAAAAAAAAAAAAAAAAAAAAAAAAACCAAAAAGCCCCCTACCTTTTCCTTTCAGTAATGGCACTTCCAGGCATCTCCAGGAGGCATCTGAGCCTGCCAAATGTCCTGAATTCCAAAGGCCTCCCTAGAGACGTCCAGATATTGCAGATGTCAACATCTGTAAAACCCTTTTCTGTCTAGAAGTAGATGGCTGGTGGATAAAACCACCACACTCTTGAAGTCCATTGCATCTCTGCAATCTGCTCTGAAATGCACTAGATCTGTCCAGAGGCAGGGGGACGCCAGGCTATGTCTCCTTGTTGGAGTAAGTGGGCCATGGATCAATGTTCACTTTCTTTAAGGGAGAAACCATAAAGCCACATCTCTCTTGCCCAGAGTAAGCTGTGATGATTTATTCTAGGCAGATGCCTCTGACAGGGCCCTGTAAAATCAAGTCGTGAGTTATTGTAGCAGTTAATTGTCAGGCCTTTTCTGGTGCTGTCTAACTTATTCTTGGGAAAAAAACAAAAACCAAAAAAAAAAAAAAAAAAAAAAAAAAAAAAACAGAACAAAACAAAACAAAAACAAAACCTGGAATGGAAAAGATTTAAATATATTTAAGCAAAAATACAATCTGATTTTCCTTAGAAGCCTCTAGGAATACTCCTCATTCAGTTCAAAACTAAACAAACAAAACCATGCCCATCTTTGCTGAACCATTCAGGTGACTTCCATCCAAACACACACCACTCTTCTGGGATCTGTGGTTTTTCTGGTCCCACACATGTGGGATCTTGGTTTGGGGGAAAGGGAGAGGAGTTTGGACTCCCCCACTGAGCTAGGAAAGGAGAGATGCAAAAATAAAATCCTCAAAAGTCAAGATGGGAAGGAGTGTGAAACAGTACAGTTTGGTTAATTACTTTAGGCAGTGGAGAAATCTGGCTGTTTTCTCAGCACATGCTAATATCAAATAAAGAGACACCAGATCTGGCTAATCTGTCGACCCCTCAGACAAAGTTTATTTGTGTTGACTTTTAAACTCCTGACTTGCCTTCCAATCACCGAGTTTAAAATGAAAAGCTTTAAATAAACACCGGGAATAGAAGATAAATAAACGTTTTTCCCCTTGCAAGTGCCTAGCTCGCCGAGGTCCAGGCTCAAATCCCCAGAGGACAGACTGCTCTCTTTTGTGTTAATGTTTAAAAGATTTTCCAATGCCGGAGTTTATTCCTACTGCAAACATTTCTATTTACAAGGTCAAGTGTATCAGCACTCGACACAGCTTAAGAGTGTAATTATTTATGTAAGGGTGTTTGAGTGTGCATCAGGAGCTTGGCGGAAGCCCAACCTTCAGCCCACTGTTCAATGGTTCCTCAGGACAATATTACCAGTCCTGGTGATTATACCCCTCCATGGTGTGTTTACTTTTGCACGCCTCAATGTTTTGTAACAAAATTTTGTATTTTTTTTTCCCACCAAAAGTGTGAAAATGGCTTTGAAGTATTGAGTCTTGTAGGCTTTCTAGACCTATTGGTAACAGATGCTATTGGCATGTTTGATTGAATGAGGAGGCAGAGAGGACACTTCTGGGGGTCAGGAGCAAAAGGGAGGGGGGTGCGCAGGGTGGGCCTCCTAGTGAGGAAGAGGTTATCCTCACACAGGAGATGAGATGATATTTTGTGAGTTCTCTCCACAAATGCCAACAGCACCAGCAGAGGCCAGTTACAAATTGTTTTAGCTGCCTCATTTACAAACATCTAATTGTTCGTCAAATTAAAGGCAGCATTAGCTCACATTCCCTTTGGCTCTGCATTCTAATGTCACTTGATGTTTGATGGACTCCCAGGGCCCCCTCCACACCCCTCCCCCCCCCCAGCACTGGGTTAACCACAGTGTAACCGCGGAAAGCAACTGCACCAAAGCCACCATTTAAACTCTTTACTGATGTGTGCATTTTTAATAAAACAACCAAAAAATACACAAAGTCATAGTTATTTAAAACACAGGACTTTAAAAAAAATGATGTCTATAAAAATACAATGTTTAAGGCAGTTTGGAAATGCATTTATACATTTCTACAATGTCCATAAATTCTCTTGAAAATAAGAACGTTACTTCAAATCTGTAAAATACACTGTACATTTTTTTTTAGACTGTTCTACACAGGGCACACTTCAAAATGGGCTCGCAGGAGTGGGTTCCTGGTGACCAATGTGTTCTAGACATTTCTTGGATGGGGGTGATGCAACACTGATGCAGATTTAAACTTCTTAATTTCTTTTTAAAAATAAATTATTTCTGACGCATACAATTTATAAAAATTCTATATACAAAGTACAGCAACTGGTAAGAAACCCCAGTTTTAATACAGTTTATATACGACGTACCAGGGTGGAAGACCCCGATAGGGGCAGAGGCAATATTCTATCTCTGCATATTCAAACTTAGAATTTCTTGGTGTAAAAACAAAAAACAAAAAAACAAAACAAAAACCAAGCCAAAACAGTAAAAGGACAACAGAACAAACTCCACAAGGAAGTTTTCCTAGATGGCAGTACGGAGCTCTAAGATAAAAAGTTGCATTGTTCAAAACCATGGTAATAGGCCAGGTTTGTGGACCCTTAATTCTAAGACACGTGGTGCTCAGAGACCGGAATGGTAGTAGCGAAATTGAAGGTGGGGGTGAAGGTTAGAAGGCAGACATGATTCCGGAGACCCAGACAAGGCACTCGCCGGCTCCAAGGTCGGCGTTCCCGTGTGCCACACCAAGAGTGCAGGAAGGAATCGGGAAGGGAACTCTTCCGTTTACTTACGGTTGCTGTTTCTCAGTGGCCACAAGCAATTAGAGTCGCTACCAGCACTATGTGTCCCCTCACAGGAAAACTGTTTAAAAGCAAAACAAAACGGCCCCTTTGCAAACCTAATCCCCCACTCCAGCATTCCCTCCCCGAGTCCCCTGGAGCTGTGAAGACAGACCCCCAACGGTGAGCAGAGTCCAAGCCTCCGTTACTTTTTGCAGGGTGTCTTGATTTCCGCAGATTCGAGCCGGTAGGACAGATCGGTAATCTCTGCAGCCTGGAAACCACAGTAGAGGGTCGCGCATGGCGGATGCAGTATGTGCTGGGCCTGTCCAACCAGGGAGAGTGTGGGTCAGTGTTCCAGATCACCCCCGGTCCCCGAGCCACAGGTGCCCGGCTCGAGAACCAGCCGGATCGCGTGCACCGGCCTGCAGCGGGGGGGGCGCAGGGGCTACAAGTGTGACCCGAGCAGCAGCAGCAGCAAGCAGACAAGCGGGGTCCAGGCGCCTCGGGTCTCCCAGTGGCCTCCACTGCCACTGCCGCTGCTCCTGCGCCCGGGCCCATGGGGCAGGTCCCCGCGGCCGCCCGCCGCAGCAGCGCCGCCGCCCGGGCGCGCGAGGCCGTCGTCATCGTCCAAGGGCTGCTCGCCTCCCGCCGCCCCCGCGCGCTGCTCGTCGTCGTAGTCTTCATCGTAGTAGTCGTCCGGGCCCCCGTCCGAGCCACTGCTGCCCGGACCGTTGCCCGCGTCTGGGCCGAAGCACAGGCGGGCCATGTTCTCCTTGACCGACTCGCAGATGGGCCGCTCCAGCCCATCGCACACGCAGTCGTTGAGCAGCGCCGCCTTGGGCACGGCCAGCATGTCCTCGATGACCGCGCGGCACTCGTCGGTGCACCGCAGCCCGTTGAAAAGCTTGCCGCAGTACGCCAGGTAGCGGCCCAGCGCCAGGTTGCAGCGGCTGTCGCGGTCGCAGCGTCGCCGGGCCTCAGTGCAGCCCATGACAGAGCCCGCTCCCGCGCCTGGGCCCACGCCGCTGGTGCGAGGCAGGCAGGGCTCGATGGCGCGCTTGGTGGACTTGCAGTGTTCGTCCTGCGCGCAGTCGCAGTCCTCCAGCGCGGGCCCGCGGCGCGTGTGGTTGAGCTGGATGAGCGCCGAGATGCAGTGGCTCGGGCAGCGCCAGCGCGGCGAGAAGGACGCGGCCGAAGCGGGGAAGGCGCCGGCGGGCCCTGGAGCCTCAGCCCCGCCGCGCTGCGCCAGCACCGGCGCGCACGCCTCGGCGTACTGGCTGTAGGCGTAGCTGCAGTCGGGTTCGCCCTGGCACTGCAGCAGCGCCTGCCAGCAGATGAGGCGGCGGCCGTGCGCCAGCCCTGAGCCCCGCGGCGCCGAGCCCAGCAGCTGCAGCAGCGCCATCAGGCACAGCAAGGCGCCCGGAACAGTCCCCGTACGGGCCCCGCCGCCGCCCAGCAGCGCGACTAGCATCGCGGGCAGCAGCGGCCGCCGGACGCGGTGCAGAGCGGAGATGAGGCGCGGGCGGCGGCAGCGGGGCCGCTGGAAAAGTTTGTCCGAGTCCCGCGCACTTCTGGCATGGGCGTCTTCATCCATCCATGCCGGCGGCCCGGCTGCTGGTAGAGGCGGGTGTTCGCTCCGGCACCGCGGCCGGGGCTCCCTGAGAGGCTCGGGCGACGCAGGTCTTGCTCTGGTCGGCAGCTGGAGGCGCTCAACGCCGACCCGGAGGGCCGCAGCGAGGCTGCAAGAGCGAGCGGCGCCGGGGGTGCATGGTGCTCGGCGCCTGCAGGCGATCGTGCGGCCGGCGACTCCTGGATCCCCGGCTCAGCGACGCGTAGCACTTCGCAGCTCTTGCATCCCGCCTTCCCGAGGCCAGGCCGCCGGGTCCCCTTCCCCTCCTCCCCGGCCTGGGCCACGCTCCGGGAATCTCTGGGCGCCGGGCGCTGGGAGGACCCCGAAACTCGGAGCGCGCGGCTGGGCTCGGGGACCTGGAGCCTGGGGAGCGGATTCGCGGAGCCCGGCTGCCGACTCGCTCGCGGCGAGGCTTTAAATACAAAAATGGGCCTGGAGCCCCCGTGTGGTGCCGCGGCGCCCCCTCATTATGCATGCATAGAAAAGCAAACAAACAAAAACATTAGCAACGCTCTTTCGGCTCGCCGAGCCCCAGCCCCGCGCGCTCCAGGCTTGCCCGCTTTCTCCTTTCTCCACTCTCGGGTGCCCTTTGCTCGGCCCCCTTCCCGGGCTTTGCGCGCTGCTATTGGTCCAGCCTGTTGTTGTTGAAACTTTTTTTTTTTTTTACGAGTCGCTGGAGTGAGGTTGCAGAGTGGGGGGAGGGCGGTGGGCAGCTCACATTCAGGCATTCAGGGCTTGAAAGGAACGGCTTAGGGAGCCTGACACAGGCCCAGCTCCTCCCACTCTTCAGGAGGCTGGGATACCGAACCCCAGCTCGCGCACAGAGCCAGCAGGCAGGGCTTAGGGCCAGCTGCCTGCATCCGGCTCAGCCACCAGCCTTTTTGTTCGCTTCCCCCGCCCCCTTTCGTGGGGGGGCACTTTTTATTAATTCTCACTTATCCCCCATCTTTGTATTCGAGAGAGTTCGAAAGTCACTTTAATTTTCAGGCTCCCCGTCTTTGAGTTCTGATCACCTCTGGCGGTATAGCGAAGGGAGGGGGTCCTGAAATTTTGATGTGAGAGTTTAGAAACTTGGATCGCGCGCAGGCACACGCGGGCTCTCTCTCTCTCTCTCTCTCTCTCTCTCTCTCTCTCTCTCTCTCTGTGTGTGTGTGTGTGTGTGTGCGTGTGTGATACACACGCACACAACCATCATGACCACAGCCACTACCACCAATCACAAGAAAAAAGGTCACTTTTCGCCAGCTTTTTTAGTCCCCTGTTCCGGCAGGTAAGGCCCTTGCACTGAGCGTCCTTTTCAAACTGTAAGAAGCTCAAAGGACGGAATCAATTCATTGACTCGTTATTGTAACACAGACGGCAATGGCAAAATCGTAGCATTAAGCACACCGGGGATGCTGAGCGCTACCACCTGGCTGTAGTCACGCAGAGGACGGAGGTAAACGGACCGCTGCAGGCAGAGCTGGCTTTGCGATCTGAACAGGAATCTCAAAAGCTGCCTTAACTGTGGCGCACTGCAGCCTTTGGCCGCCAGAGGCACCGCGAGTCTGCGGCCTGTCAAACACTGGCGTTTTTCCCTCCCCCTTTTCTTGGTGAGCCTATCCATTCCATCTGTCACAAATTTTAAGGTTAAATCATTGCTGAAGCAAAGGGAGCCCCAGCTGCAGCGCGCTCAGCAAGTGGACTGCCCACCTCTCCAAAGAGACGGGGAATTTGAAAGAGCAAAAGTGAGGGCCAGAGCCAAGACCCAGATGGATTAACCTGGCTCTTGGTAAAGGTTCATTGCTCAGGCTGGGAGGCTGTGGCTCCACAACTGTCTCAAACCATGGCAGAGCCAGACTGAGTTATTCGGAGCGGAGCTATCTATCGTGCCCTGATTTTTGCAGCAGAAAAGAAACGCAAATCTATCCTTAAACATTATCCAGGCGTGATGCAGCAAGCCTATTTATCCCAGGCGGAGGCAGGATGATCCTTCGAGTTCAAGGCCTGCGGGTTCCCTCTAGTCAGTTCCAGGCTAGATGCTTGCTAACATCCGTTTTATCCTTGACAATCAGAGGTTCTGAGCTCCTCAGAAGGCCAGCCTAGAGACGCATCTTCAAGTTTGTGTTTGTTCTGGCTTCTTTAGAGAAATCGAAAAACAGCCTGCAGGAGAAACATCTGGAAACCTTGTGTTCTATTCTGGATTCCTGGCTCCTGGAGTATGTCAGCTGAACCCCAGGAGGGCCTGGAAGTCTGCATTTCCAACAAAATTCAAGGGGGGCACTGCTGGTGTTCAGACATGCTCTGACTGTCTCTATTCATCTTTACTGGTCAGGTGACATCTTAACCTGGATTCAGGTCTCAGTGGGAGATGTGGGAGGCCAAGATCTCTGTTCCATCTGAAAACGTCTCTACAGACCTCCCGGCCAAAGGACAAGGGGAGAGTGCCACTTTGCGCACTGGTGGTGTCTCAGCCGGACTGCCGCGGAGCGGGTGAGGCTGACCAGCTGCCTTCTAAAGTGCCCTTTTGGTTTTCATAGGTTGGTCCCCGGGGCTCACTGCTCTCTGCTGCCCATGTGACTGCCCGCCCTCTCCGTTTATCTTTCAGGGTATTCCTTACAACACTTTCTTTTGCATTTTGCTTATTTTATGTGTATGGATGTTTTGCCTGCATGTATGTCCGTGTGCTGGAGTTAGAGACTCTCATAGTCTGCCATGTGGGTGCTGGGAATTGAACCTGGGTCCTAGAAGAGCAGTCTGTGGTATTAGCTGTTGAGCCCAAACATATTTTGTGGTCTTTCTTTTTGCTTTTTATCCACTGTGGCAAGCTTGTGTGTGTGTGTGTGTGTGTGTGTGTGTGTGTGTGTGTGTGCGTGCGTGTGTGTTTGTGTATGTTGAATGAAAATGGTCCCTATAGGTTCATAGTATGAACTGAAGGTCCCTAGATGATGGGACTAATGTGGGAAGGATTAGGAGGCGTGGCCTTAGACAAGGTGTGTCACGGGAGTGGGCTTTGAGGTTCCAAAAGTCTTGTTTTCTGCCGCTCTCAGCCCCTGCTCCACCTCCATGCCAGCTGCCACAATCACCTCAGTGACGGCCTTGGACTCACTCTCTGAAACCCTAAACGAGCCCCCCCCCACTCCCCAGTTAATGCTTACTGCCCCAGGTTGGTATCTGAAATCGTTCTCATCGGCTCTCCTACTTTATTTCCTGAGGCAGGACCTCTCAATAAAACCCAGAGCTTGAAGACAGCTAGCTATCCCCGAGGGTCCCCTGTGTCTTAATTACTGTTCAGTTGCTGTGATGAAGCACCATAACCAAGGCAGCTTATAAAAGGAAGCGTTTGATTGGGGGCTTGCGTGCAGTTTTAAGGGTTAATCCATTGTCATCATGGTGGAAAGTGTGATGGCGTGCAGGCAGAGAGAAGACAGGCATGGTTCCGGAGAAGAAGCTGAGAGCTCACATCTGATCCACATATTGCAGAGAGGTGGGCGAATGAAACCTCAGAACAAGGCCATTCCTACTACAGGTTCACACCTCTTACTCCTTCCCAAACAGTTCCACTAGGACTAAGAATTCAAACACAGGAGTCTATGGAGTCCATTCACATTCAAACCTGTCTTCCGAGGCTGGAATTACAGGCAGGCACTCCCTGCATCTATGGGGTCCAGTTCTCGGGCTCGTGTGGAGAGTGCTTCAACCACAGAGCTATTTCCCAAGCCCCTCCCCTGTTGTGGGATGTTTGTGTACCTACCATGTGAAGATGTATTACTGTGATTGGTTTAATAATGAGTCGAATAGCCAATAGTTAGGCAGGAGAGGATGGGTGGGATTTATGGACAGGGAGAGGAAGAGGAGGAACCAAGGCACGTGGAATTCAGCAGTGTCTTGAGATGTTTGTTCTGGAAGTGGTGTGGAGATCGCCCACACGTTCTCAAGTGGGGAAGCACCCAAGAAGCATGCTTGTGCTTTGCCAAACCCCATATGCCGAGACTAACTCCACTGTACTTCAGTTCCCCCTAGGAGCAAGGAGTGTGGGGGTGGGTGGGGCTGTGTGGGGGTGGGTGGGGCTGGGGAGCGTTTCTCAAGCACATTTCTGCTCAACCAGTCATTCTTGTGATTATCAAACTTTCTAAAATTGAAGTTATCTTTGGAGAAAATGATAACTTTTGCTGTTAAGTATTGACAATCAACCAATCAAATCAATAAAGATTAAGCAAACCTCTTACTGCCCTCCACTGACCACAGGGTTCTGTTGAGCCAGGGAGAGGAGGAGCCTGTGGACAGGAAAGGAATAGCCCAGAGAATAAGGCCTTCCCATTGACAGAGTCAAAGCTTTTCTTTCTCAGTTTCAGGTACACCTGCTCATCTTCTGCCGGCGCTTTCGAATTACTGACTCTAAAAAAATTAAACAAGAGGGTCACCATAACTGACTGTGGGGATTGAAGGAAACTGACATCAGGAAAGGGTCTCTGGTGTACAATGGCCCCAACTTTATTAAAAAAGGAAACACCTAAGAAGCAGAGGAGGTTCGGGTCGCATTCAGCCATGGTGCACCAAATCAAATGACTTCCCTGCAGCCTTTGCACTGTGCCCCAGAGCCTCGGTGCCATGCAGTGCCTGTAAGTGCTGCCTAACGCACCTCAGCCCGGGTGGGTCAGAGACCGTGGCGTGTTACAACTGCAGTGTTCACACTTCACTGGCAAAAGCATCGTCTGCTCTTACAGACGCTCGGGGTTTAACTGTGGGAAGACACACATTTCCTTTTTTAATTCTTTATTTGATTTTGGGTGGATGTGTGTGCGAATGTGTGGAGGCCAGAGGTCTATGCCCAGTGTCTTCCTCAGTCCTTCTCCGCTGTGTGTTTTGAGACAGTGTCTGCCACTGAACCTGGACTCACCAGTTGCTGGCCTGTCTGGCTGGCTGGCAAGCCCGGGGGACCCAACCAGCTTCTCACACCTACATAACAAGCATTTTACCAACTACACTATCTCCCTGGACTGGGAAACAGATGGTGGTAT